TATCTGGCAACACACAGAAAAAGAAACCTTTTTATCAAAGGGCCATAACTCGGCCAAAAATCATTCAACCGGAAAACCCGTGCAATATGCGCAAAGACTTGAGCTACAGATCAATCCTGAAAAGTTGCATTGAAATTGCATTAGTGGTATAAGAGAAGTAGTCCGGACAAACTTTAAAAATAAAATTATTAAAGGGCCATAACTCTGACAAAAATCATTGAACCGGAAAATGCTGACAATATGCACAACTAGACTTGGTACTGATCATTCCTGTAAAGTTTGGATGAAATTGCACCAGTAGTTTATGAGGAGTAGTCCGGACAAGTTTTTTGACGGACAGACGGACGGACAGACGGACAGACAGACGACGGAGAAGTGATCCCTATATGTCGCCACTACTCCGTAGAGGCGACACAAAAATGGAATCCAGAATAATGCAACGTTTGAGTATCATAAAGCAAGATGGAATCAATCATAATGCAAGTTCTAATGTCATGTAGCAAGATGGAATTAAGCATAATGCAAGTTCCAATGTCATCAAGCAAGATGGAATTAAGCATAATGCAAGTTCCAATGTCATCAAGCAAGATAGAATGAATGCATTAATTCTGTTCCATAGAAATTTAAAGACCAGTTTTTGTTTAACTTTTTACCCATTGTTAAGTGAACTCTTTATTTATGCTCTAAATACTTAAGACATGGTAGCTGAGTTAAACTTATTTTGAAAGCTGTTATATCCACTATATATCTATCGTATACTAGAGAAAAATGCCTGAATAAAGTCCTTATACGGGATTTTTATTTCCGTATACTACAAAATCACGATTAGATATGTATATGTAACCAATACGGAATTCCGTACATGCCTGGTGCTTATACGGACTTCTCGTATACACGGAGTTCCCTTTACGGACTCGTATCCTTGTATAATTGGTCTGTATATAAGACATATACGTCCCGTACACGCCCGAATATGTTAAAAATACGGGACCGTATATTCCCGTAAATCAGTGTATTTTTCGCAGTGTTTAGATTGAAATACACTACTTCGAGCAGACGGGGCAGTCGGTTAGCAAGTATCTAAGGAGATGGCTAGGTCTCACTCCAACATTCAACAGTGTAGTTTTATATAGCCTGTCTACATATGTAACTAAACTCAATGGTCAGTGAAGCAGGCTGTAGAATAAGCTGCTGTTTAAAGAAGTGTAAAGCTCCAGGATCCTTTATGAAAAGAACAAGCGTAGAGGACTAGGTATCAGGTACAAACAGCGGTGGAATGATTCTGACAAAGTGGAGGGAAGATAAATGGCGCAGTCTAGGAACAAAGGAGAGCAGAAGATAAAACACAGTCATCAAGATCAGTTCAACTTGGTACACAGGCAAACTGGATGAAGTGGAACTTAACAAAAGAAAAGTTTACCGTGCAGGAGCTGCGGCGATGTGAGCCACTTAATTTGTGTTTTCACCCTAGATCTGTAAACGACCTACTACACTCTCCGACAAATCTTAAACTGTGGAAGATGTCAGAAGATCCCATTTGTACACTTTGCGGTGATGAAGGATCATTATGCCACATCATGTTATCATATAAAACCGCACTTTCCCAAGGACTATGTAGATGGCGCCATGACCAAGTTCTCCGTAAAATGGCGGACATCCTGGAGAAAGAAAGACTGTTCAACCAGACAGGACCTTATTTTATCAACTTTGTTAGATAGAGGGAGAGGAAGCCTGCAAAATTAACAAGTACTAGCAATTAATATGATTACAAGAAGTGAGAAATGTTGGTACACATTAGAAAGAAAGTAACGTTCCCGGAGGAAGTGACTCACACATCCCTCCAGCTAGACAAAGTTTTGTCAAGGTCTCAGAAGTTGGTGGTAATGGTGGTCCCTAGGGAAGAGAAAGTAGAAAAGTCGTATGGATCAAGAAGTGAAGATACCAAGACTAAGCAGTCACTCGTAGAGATAGAGGATAATAGACATGGCTCTTCCCAGTACAAGTTGGGTGCAGAGGCATTCAATCAAGGTGAGTTTGGAAAATGCTGGGAGCAGCAGCCATTAAATCACAAAATTACATTTATGTGCAATAGTAAGCAAACGTCCTACCAGTTATCCTAGAAATATATAATTATTCTTCTCCTTTACAAGTTGATGCGTCAAGACAAAAGAAGTATTAAAAACTGCATCAAATTCTGAATCCAGTATTTTCACATTGTGCCCGATGCACCAACAATTCTGTAAACACAATTGCATTGTGTTATATAGCAAATTGACTGAACTACACTCTAAAGTCTTTATATCCCGCAAATGCAGAAATTCCAAGATAATTTCAAAACAACGATGCAGTAAGCATAGAATTTATCATAACAAGTCAATGCATAATAAGCTATTTACTGTATATGAAACGATGGTCGCCATTCACGCACAACCAAATTAAGATTCAAAATAGCCAGTCTGTATATATGTGCCAGCAATCAGAAAATAGTTCCTTATTTGAAGCATCAATATATACCTAAACTTAATATTTCTTTAAAAAAATACTTGCATAAGAAGCATATTCAAAATTAAACCAATTTAAGTGAAAATTTGTAAGAAAGTTTAATTTTTATTTCGTATTCACGAATAAACACTGCTTATGTCAACATTCTAACACTATCGGAGATTTCTCTTATTTAAACAAAGAAGGCCAGAAGCGTGTTATAATTCAAAACAATTCACTCGTCGTTCTTATTTCCTCCCTTCAATCTTCACGCAGTGATCTCCCCCCAGTTCTTCGGCATAGATGTTTTTATAAATGGAAGTAACCGCGGCGAGGAGTTTGTCCGCCCTCTTAATTTGCAAACCGACACATTGCCGGCACCATTTTGTTCGAACAATCTGATAAATGATCAACACTTTTGTTTTCGTGCAAGAGAGTATATTGTATGACTGTAGATCTAATATTAAATTTGATTAAGGTTAACGCGTCGGACCCATTCAACTTCATTTTACAAAAATAAAACAGCTGAAGGAATAGACATGGATTTTAATTTGTCTTACAAATTCAGTCATTTACCTACTTTATGTATAGCTGCGCGTTGTTAACACAGATTAAGGCCTGGTCACACCGCCTGAACTTTGTTGGAGCGTTCTTTGAATGGTAGGGATAGGGGACCGAATTTCGACAACGCTCTTGCACATGCGGCGTTGACTCGGCGGGGATTAAGCGGCATACTGCTTTTGACTACGGAGCTGAACGGATCGATTAAAAAGAAGTTCTGATATATTATTATGCTCTCCGAAAAATTTCCTGGGGAGCATATAGTTGCCGCCTTGTCCGTTCGTCCGTCCGTCCGTCCGTCCGTCTTTCCGTCCGTCCGTCCCCTTTTCTTGTCCGGGATATAACTTTGAAACAACAGGAGTTATCAACATGGAACTTTGTAGGTAGATAGATCTCATTGAGTAGGTGTGCAGTGCACAAGAACCGTAACTCTGCCTTGCCTAATTTTTGAATTATTCTCCTTTTTTTATTTTTACACTTTGAAGTTTGTCCGGGACATAACTCTAAAAGTATAAGAGGTATCAACATGAAACTTTGTAGGTAGATAGATCTCATTGAGTAAGTGTGTAGTGCACAAGAACCGTAACTCTGCCTTGCCTAATTTTTGAATTACCCCCCTTTGTTTATTTTACACTTTGAAGTTTGTCCGGGACATAACTCTAAAAGTAAAAGAGGTATCAACATGAAACTTTGTAGGTAGATAGATCTCATTAAGTAGGTGTGCAGTGCACAAGTACCGTAACTCTGCCTTGCCTAATTTTTGAATTACTCCCCTTTGTTTATTTTACACTTTGAAATTTGTCCGGGACATTACTTTGAAACAACCAGAGGTATCAACATGAAACTTCGTAGGTAGATAGATCTCATTGAGTAAGTGTGCAGTGCACAAGAACCGTAACTCTGCCTTGCCTAATTTTGAATCATCCCCCTTTGTTTAGTTTACACTTTGAACTTTGTCCAGGACAAAACTCTAAAACTATAATAGGTATCAACATGAAACTTTGTAGGTAGATAGATCTCATTGAGTATGTGTGCAGTGAACAAGAACCTTAACTCTGCATTGCCTAATTTTTGAATTATCCCCCTTTGTTTATTTTTACACTTTGAACTTTGTCTGGCACTTAACTCTAAATGTATAAGAGATATCAACATGAAACTTGGTAGGTAGATAGATCTCATTGAGTAAGTTTGCAGTGCACAAGAACTGTAACACTGTCTTGCCTACTTTTGGAGTTATTGCCCTTTGTTCATTTTGACACTTTGAACTTTGTCCGGGACATTACTTTAAAATTATAAGAGATATCAACATGAAACTTTGTAGATAGATAGGTCTCATTGGGTGGAAGTGCAGTGCTTAAGAATCATTACTCTGCCTTGCCTTGTTTTGAAGTAATTGCCCTTCGTTTATTTTTACTTTTTGACTTTTGTCCGTGACATAACTTTAAAACTATTAGAGATATCAACATGAAACTTTGTAGGTAGCTAGATATAATTAGATAGAACTGCAATGCTTAAAGAACCTAAACAAAGCCTGGTCTAATGTTGGAGTTATTGCCCTTTGTTCATTTTTACACTTTGAATTTTACCCGGGACATAACTCTGTTATCATCAGGAAACTTTATAGATAGATAGATCTCATTGAATAGAAGTGCAGAACAAAAAAACATAACTCGGCTTTGCCTAATTTTGGAGTTTTTTGCCCTTTGTTCATTTTGTTTATACTTTCCTGTGTCCAGACCCTACTCGGGGAGCTTCACCCGGTTCAACCGGTTCTTGTTGATAGAAGTCGATAGTTGATGTTCATAATGCCACGTGGACAAAAGAAGAGAAACGCTGGAGAAGGAAAGGCAGCACACTGATGGTGTTTTGAGAAACCCTTCAGGCGAAATGCATTTTTCTTTTTCAAGAGACCCGGTGCTTTAGGATGATTGCCACTTTGAGACCAGGGTCCAGGTTTGCTAGGTAATTGGTGTCAATCTGGGGCTGAGCCTCTGTACAACTTTATCAAACTTGGCTGGTGGCATCTTCATAAAGTGCTGGAAGGCTCGTGGATCCTTATTCCTCAGCCCTACCATCAGCTTGCCATACAGTCCGTGTTCAGGCATTCTCTGTATCCACTGTCCGACCAACACAATTCTGTCTCTCCTTCTTCTCTCTCTCTTCTTCTTCTGTCAACAACTTGTTGCAATCTGAGGAGGTTCTGATTTTGCTGCTGGACTAGTGCACCAATCATAGCAAGTCTCCCAGCATCCATGTTAGTACAGTTTTACTATAACTTCAAGCAAATTAGATGTAAATGAGGTCTGCACTCCAAGGCAGCTCGATCACTGGTCTATTTTCGCCCTGTATTTATAGCCAAATTCTTGTCCCGCTCCGACACCTCCATACCAACGTCAAACCAAAGTTCATCGCCACAATTGATCGCTGCTTCAACGCCGGACACGGTTCCAGCAATCCCGTGTCCGGTCGTCAAACGCTTACAACCAGTCCTACAGCGTTTGTGAAACGTTAATTCACCGCTCGGGCAAATCTGGGAAGCGGAGGTGGTCCAGCGTTCTAGATTTCTGCTACGTTGGCCTAGCGGACCCAAACGACAACAATCTTACGTCTAAAACATAAGCAACCTAAAGAGCATACCACTAGAACCCCTATCTAAAAAAACAATACAAAACAGAACAGAACATTTTGACTTGTACTGAGTACATAATCATAAAAAATCAAGCAACAAAATAATCATCAATACATTAAATTAACATTACAAACTTGTAATAAATTAGTAATGCATTTTGAATACAGTATCACGTTAACAATTATATGCCCCACTTCATTTATGGGCACAAGCAGGCTTCATTTTTCATGCAAATATGTAGTCTTTGTGTAAAAAAAGATGTAATAATGCCAAAACGAAGTTTTGTTCAACATGAAGTTTAAGTCATCCCTAAAACAACAACAACAAAAAAACTTTTGTAGATTAAAATCTTGAATTAAAATTCAGATAGGTGAAGTGGACTCCCTTGCTTATTATGTGGTATTCCCTTTTTATTTCTCATGTCAAGGGAGTTTGTGACATTGTAAAACTTACAGCAACATTAAAAACAATTACTGGCAAATGATTATCATACCCCTAAATAATTGTTCAAAATTTTATTTTTTAAACACGACTAACATAATTATTTAATCCAGGATTGTTATGTTCGAAACACAAGTATTTTGTTTCTGTTTTCTTTTCGAGAATGAAACCCATTAAGAAATTGCGAGGGTTAGGTTTTTGACATTTAATTTGTTATAATTATGAGCAAAAGAAAACTATGATTTTGTAAGTTTCAAACTTTCTATCTACAAAATATAAACGAAAATGACTATGCCGAAAATTGGAGTGAGTTTAATAAATGGCAAAACATATTTGTTTTGTATGTACAAGTGTTTTGTTACAAATCCTTAACAGTCATCATAAATGTCTGACTTGATATCTATTTAACGTATATCAAGTCGGACATTAGTGATAATGGTATTGGAATTTTCCATGTCCCCTTAAATTTAACAATAAAAGGTAAGCCCATGTAACTTAGCTTACAAGCAACACCACGCAAATACGCTGGCGCACATGTAAGACACACACAAACCTCTTATACATACACAATTTATACGATTTTTCATTAATTGAACTAACTTTAAATGTCGGTATAGTGTTTTCCATTGATAATTTATAGTTTGGAATTTTGAACTCATTAAAATCGTACAAAATGTTACATATATTATTAACAGTTTATCGCATATAATATTATTGCAGGAATATGTGAGTTGGCTGGACTAGTCCATTTAAGACATTCAGAAGATAGTAAAAACAATCGTTGGAAAAAGCTTAAATCAACTTTTTTTACGGGGAAAAAGAAATTTAAGCAATTTCAGATCTAGTTTTACTATCAAGAAGGACAATGTCTTGAACATTTTCGCCAAAATAAGGAAAGGGCTTGTCCAGATTGAAAGATAAAAGAGTCCATTTAAGATATTTAGCGGCGTAATGTATAAGTTGTTATGATATCACCCGTTGATTTTACCTTTGGTGGAGCAAAAAATATAACAACAACAAACACCAAAGCGCAGCCAATCAACAATCCACCTTCAAGAACATGTATCAATATTTGTCTAAAACGGAAAATATATATATGAAAAATGTACATATGATGAAAAACACAAGAAAAGAAACATGTTAGAACCAATAGCAAAGAAGAAAAAAAGTCTCCTATAAGAACAAATCCATATTTACTTTTTTTTCCAATTTCTTAATTTCTTAAATATGATAAATGTTTTCAATTTTGTTATGTTTATTAAATCCAAAAATATAATTAATTACGCCGATATATTTATGTTTTCCTCCTTCAATAAGAAAAGGAAGTTATTTGTTATCAAGCAGTTCATTGAAGTCATAAAAACATGCAAGTAAATCAATACCTCCAATTGCACATTATTAGTATTTTGAGTCATGTATAGTTTTCATTAAGTTAATGTATTTAACCTCTTTTTTGTTGAGAAGGACATCAATTTTCCATGACCCTAAAAGGGACAAACCTTTTTCTCCACATTTGGTATACCTTTTTGTCTGGCCAAATTATGTTGTTCTGTTTATTATTATTTTTTGAACATTAAGTAATTAAAGAAATTATATTGTATGAGTGTCACTAAAATAACTGACATTTCTTTTACGAAATATAATACATAGTTTATTCATAATTTTATTCAAATTGGACACATTCAGTAAGAAATTGATAGATTTCAATAAATGTCTGTGATTAAAATATTTGAATCAATGATGATAATTAATTATACTTTAAAATGTAAAATGCATGCAAATAAAGTAGTTTACAACCTAATATGACACTTTGTCTTAATCCAAATGGTACATATATTTAGTAATGTATTTAGCTTATAGAGCATTATTTAAAATAAAGCAATGCTCCAATAATATTTAAAAAATCTAATCAGTTTTCTGAACGGACACACCCTTTTTCTATTTCATCAAAATTGAGACATACTGGTTTATATAAACTATCCTTATTTAAATGTTCTTTCTTTACTTTTGTTTTTTTATAATTATAAAACTATGGTCCTTTCTAAAGTACTACTTCTACTGTTAGATATAGATAAAAATGAATAAATAAATATATGTTTTAATAAATGAAAACATATCTGTTTTATTGTTCCATATAATAGTTAGAAAACTTTAATTGAAACTGCAATAACTTTTCAAACAACACGGTATTATTTTTGTCTTGAACATCATTACGAAATCATGGATTACTTTTGAAACATGGTCTATTATTATATACATATTACGATAACATCTGCTGCAATCAATATTATGTACAAAACTGTCTATCTGCCGCAACTGCTGCAGTAAGCATACGCAAGTAGTAGTTATCTGAAAAATGAAAGATAAAATTGTTAAATTGTTTGAAATTTTTATCTGATAAATGAACGATGAAATTGATAAAATTTATGAAATATTATCCCATGATAAACGCATATTTCATACGCATAATGCGTAATATACATTCAAATAATTGAATCAGCTGATGTCAAGTGTCATGTTGTACCTGTAAAAACGGTTGCCCGTATTTTCACTTCAATGTTGTTTTATTTTTCTGATCTAATCCAACACGTTAAGTGTTGAAAATATCCGCTCAAGTCGATGCTAGGGGACAAAAGGGATGTTGCACTTTTTCATTATCCATCATGTGCAGACTCAATCAAACCGAGTCTGCAATCTCCCTTTCAGATAGTCAAAGAATGGCACAATTATTGTTCGTCTAAATAATTCCCCCACACTTGATCTAGGGATATTTCCTCTTTGTGTTTGACGGTCACAGCGCCGGAGGACTGAAGGGTAGATGCCTACTCTCTCTGCCAAGGTTACAGCTTCATATATCTCATGATAAAATGTTTCTATGTTGACTCTGTACTCCTCTAGGACAGACTTGACCACTTGAATGTCCTTGAAGGCAGTGGCAACCTCCAGGGCTGTGCCTGAAATCAAATTTATCAAATTTCATATTTTGAAACGTTCTCCCGGGACAAACATAACGAGAATGTTAAATATATCTTGAACTGTTCTCCCGGTACAAATATAAAGATAATACTTCTTTGAAATGTTCTTACGGTACAATCATGAAGAAAATGTTCAATATATATTTTTGAAATGCCATGTGCAAACAAAAAGAGTATGTTGAATATATCTTTGAAATGTTCTCCCGGTACAAAAATAAAGAGAAGGTTGAATATATCTTTGAATTGTCTCCCGGTATAAACATAAAGAGCAGATGAAACAACCATATGCCACATTAAAATTAAAAAAAAATAAAATAAAAGTAACCATGAAACCATGAAACCGAAACGAAACAAAAAATAAATAAATATGTAATTCACAAACTATAAAATAAGTTAGATTTGTTAAAATTGAGTATTTATCTTACCATACCATATTGTACTTATGGTAATATTTAATTATCTGTAGATGTCCGACATCTGTCCGTTGTCTACAATTGCGTCAAATGACATCTCGTCTGTAACATATGGCCAAATGTGACAAAACTTGCTTGAAATACTCTTTGCATGAAGTTTTGCAAATGTTTTTAATTAACATATGTAGGTCACACAATAATTTGAAACAAAGCTTAATGTCTAGAGCTGATATACTATGCGTAAAGAACGAAAACGGCCCGCCGGTCTCAACTTAATTTTAGATAGTCTGATATTGATAAAGATAAAAGCCTTCTAACGACAAAGTCAAGAGCTTTGATATTCGAGAAAGCATTGTCTAGATGACTACTACTAAGCAAGTTCAAATCATTACCTTGAGGTTTAATTGGCCACGCCCGATTTTAACATAATGTCATATAAAATCTCTAGAAATAATATTTCACCAAAAAGGCAATTAACAAAGCTTAGATAGTTGGTGACTATAAACTCTACCAAGTTGGTTCAGGTGATCTGTTAGAATTTGGCTTACCACAGGGTCAATTGAGTTTTATACTTCATATAAAAAAAACCTTTATATATTGTCTCCTCTTAAAAAGTTAAGCTTAGCTGTGTGATGTTTGGTAACCAGCACTGTAAAGTTGACCACTGCTATATTATTCAATTCGTGTCCTGGTGTCAACATTTGCCTGTCAGTAATTAATGCTTCTAATAGTCTTTTACAGTAAAATTTAAAAAAATCCTTTTCCGTCGTACTATATAGTTGACAATTATACATCATAGTTGGACTTCCCGCTGGGATCACTTGAATTATCAGTGAGTCTTTTGAAGATTGTTATTACAATTCTTCTTCTGCCAAACTCCAATAGGAAAAGTTCAGATATTTTATGTGAAGAGTTAACCAAGCCATGGCCGTGATGTCACCCTAACATATCGTATTATGTAACATAGTCATACAGAAAAAAAAACGTTTTGGATGTTTTTCTTTTTTTGTACTTTTTTGTTTGGTTTAGATTTACAACACCAAAACAACAACAACAACAAAAAACAAAGACGATATAAGCTTTCATCGGCTGTTACAAACTTAAAAGCAAAACACAAAGGGTTAAACCACCTCGCCTGCTGCAGCTAAAAGATGCATAGACTCTAATAATTCATTAAAATTTAAAAAAAAAATCCTTTTCCGTAGTACTATATAGTTGACAATTATACATCATAGTTGGACTTCCCGCTGGGATCACTTGAATTATCAGTGAGTCTTTTGAAGATTGTTATTACAATTCTTCTTCTGCCAAACTCCAATGGGAAAAGTTCAGATATTTGATGTGTAGAGTTAGTCACCTTTTAAGATCATACGAGGTATAGTATTTTATTTTATGCATTTGAGTGGATAAATGATTTATCCTTGAAAAAACTATAATTGATATATTCACAGTGAAAATTACCATAATATAATTTCACACTTTTCAAAAATGAGACTACTTCTAAAGATTTTTCCCATGCGGTACATCACTTTGATTTATTGTTTGGATACCGACCTATTTAGGGCTGTTTATAGATAAACAAAGCGAAAGTGATAACTGAAATTAGAAAAGATAATATTGTTGCACCTCAAGTGTCAATACTTTAACAAAGTCTAATATGAACAACCTTTAAAATAAAATCGTATATTTTGATACTGCATAACCAAAAGTTTAAGATATTTGCTATGCAACAATGAGTAGTTAACCTTTATCAAATGTTAAGTTTATTTGTTTGTTTGGATTTTACGGCACGTCAACACATAAATGGCCATATTGTGCCGAATGCTATAATAGGCTTAAGATATTATGTAAAACGTTGTAAATAATAATAAAAAAGAGCCAATCAGATCCTTGAGTACAAGTTTATCTCTTTCAAATAATCGATGATGTTTTTTGATGGAATTGTATTAAAGAGTTCTTTGACTGAGTTTACATTATAAAATCTGTTACGGGCCTGTGAAAAATCATGACATTCCAGAAGAAAATGCTTGACAGTAAAATTTTCATTTCAACCTACACAGAAAGGGGCATTGTCATTCGTGAGGAGATAAGAATGGGTAACTTTAGTGTGTCCAATTCAGCATCGAAGAAAGAGATGGTGACACATCAAGAGATGGGTGTATATCATGAAGTTTTTTAACGACGGCATTGTCCCAATTTGCTTTCCATTCAGACGAAACGAGTTTATTTATAGCCGTTCTAAAATCACAAGCAGGTAACAATAAGTTAGTTTTTTGAAAATTTAATGCTTGTTTAGCTAAAGCATCTACTTTTTCATTTCCTCGTATACCTACATGACTTGGAATCCAATATAATTTAACAGATTTTATTTTAAGTATATCATGAAATCGTAAAATAAATTTCTTTATCAGATTTTTTTATTTTTAATGGATATTAAAACAGAAAGCGAGTCAGAAAATATCACAAATTTATCATGGGTATGCTTTTCTATGTATGACAATGCTAAATCTATAGCTTTTGCTTCAGCAGTAAAAATTGATGAATTATCTGGTAACCTCATAATAGATGTATAATCATTTTCATACACAGCCGCACCTACTTTGCAACCTTCCTTTGAACCGTCCGTATAAATATGTATAAAATTTTCATGTTCTTCCTTTATTGCTAGAAACTTCTCTTTGAAATGTTCATGTGAATTTGATGACTTTTTTATATTTGAAAGGTTAATATTTATTTCAGGGGAATTATAAGTCCAAGGTGGAACATCCTCGTCGTCAATTTGAAGGATATTGACAGGATTAATTTTAAGTTTATCTAAATCATCTTTTAAACGAAGGCCTAATGGTTTAATTTCCTTTGGTTTGTTAACAAATTTTTCAATATAATTTGGTTTGAAAATTATATTTTTGGCTGGATTTTTGCTATTTGATGAAATTCTAGTTGCATATTTAAGTGATAGCTTTTTTCGACGAAGTTGAAGCGATGGTTCCCCAGCTTCCGCTTATAGACTTTTTACAGGTGAGGTGCGAAATGCACCTAAAGCTAAACGTTAACCCTGGTGATGTATGGTTTCTAGCATTTGAAGATATGATTTTCTTGCAGACCCATATACAACAGAACCATAATCTAATTTTGATCGGATAAAACTTCTGTATAATTTCAGTAATGTGGAAGAATTTGATCCCCAATTTGTACTTGATAAAACCTTAATTAAATTTAAAGCTTTAAGGCATTTAGTTTTCAAATGTTTAATATGTGGTATAAAAGAAAGTTTTTTGTCAAATATAATTTCTAAAAACTAAGCTTCATCAACTATTGGAATTTTAGAACAAGATATGTAAAGTTCAGGGTCATTATGGTGTTTCCGCAATCGACAAAAATGAACACATTGAGTTTTTGACTTTGAAAATTTAAAACCATTTTCTATTGCCCACTTTTGGATTTTATCTAAATTTTGTTGAAGTTGCCGTTCAATTGTTCTCATACTTTTCGATCAATAGCAGATAAGAAAATCATCTACATATAGAGAACAATCTATGCCTGGTGTAAGAGCGCTAGCAATATTGTTTATTTAAAGGCCAAAAAGTGTAACAGAAAGCATGCTTCCTTGAGGAACACCTTGTTCTTGTTTTTGATCCTCAGAAAAAGTTGAACCATGTCTTAGTTTAAAGTGCCTATCGTTTAAAAATCCAGATATGAAAAGAGGAAGTCTGCCTTTAAGTTCAGCATCCTTTAGATCTTTTAGGATACCATATTTCCAAGTAGTATCGTAAGCCTTCTCAAGATCAAAGAAAATTGATACCAGGTGTTGTTTATTTACAAAGGCTTCTCTAATAAAAGTTTCAAGTCGTACAAGATGATCTTTTGTACTTCGCTGTTTACGAAAACCTGACTGAAAATTAGAAATAATTCCATTATTTTCTAGATACCAAACTAACCGATTATTTATCATCCTCTCGAATGTTTTGCAGAGGCAACTTGTTAGTGAAATTGGGCGATAATTTGTAGGGTCAGTTGAATCTTTTCCAGGTTTAGGGATAGGAATAACCAACGCATTTTTCCAAGTGTTAGGAAATTCACCAGAAACCCAAATTCTGTTAAAAATTTCAAGAAGCAAGTCAAGAGATTGGGGCGGTAGATGTTTAAGAAACTGGTAGTAAATTTCGTCCGGGCCTGCAGCACTGTCTTTTGCAGTTTTAATTGAATAAATTAAGTCATCAATAGAGAAGTCTTCGTCATTTCTTGAAGTAAAATATATATGTTCTTTCTCAGCTTTACATTTGTGTTGTTGAAATTCATTTGAATAATTGTTTGAAGAAGAGTTCTTTGCAAATGTTTTAGCCAAAGTTTCTGCAATATCCGTTTTTGTTTTGGCATATTGGCCATCACCAGTTTTTAAGTGAACAATTGGACTCTTTTTATACTTACCACTTATTTTCCGTACTGCATCCCAGACTTTCTTAATAGGAGTATTTGAATTAATATTTGAAACATATGATTGCCAGGATTGGCGTTTAGACAAACCAATTAATCTTCTAGCTTAAGCTCTAAAGATTCTATAATTTT